TACAGCAGATCTGGACAAGGGTTGTGAACGGGAAAGAGACCTAGTTAGAATGCCCAGGCAAAAAGGAACGCCCCAGCAAAGAGAGATGCTCTGCAGTAAAAGAGGAAAACCAGGGGGCAAGGCTGAAGAGAACAGATCAGATAAAAACAAGGTAGTGCAGTGGGAAATGCCGAGCAATCCAACCATCCACGAGCATTGCACCTTCATAGGGAAAGGTAAAACTTTGAACCCTCCTAGTGTGACTAGAGCGAGGACAACCTGTGCCCAAAGAAGAAGATGCAGAGGAATGTTATGTAGTGCTGCCAGTGTGGCATGAGGCAAGATCTGACGGGTACCGTAAGGATCAATGAGAAGAGGAACTGTGCGCAAAGCCCCTGCCATAGTTAGGAAACTATTAGTAAGCATGAGGGCATCACGGAGGATGTGAGGAAGAAAGCATGCTCCAGCCATTCCCACAGCCGCCAGGACTGTTATCAACATGAAGAGGCTCACAGAACCAAATACATGCAGCTCCCAAGCAAATGTCAGCGTGCGACTCATGTCCTCCCAGAGAAGACTGGTACCATTGAAGCTGTTAAAGATGGGCCTCTCCAGTCCCAAAAGGCTGGGATCAGCCGTTAAGGAAAATGCACTGGTTTGAACGGGAAGTCTGGGGTGATCTTCACCTGAAAGATAGAGAAAATGTCTTATGTTTTGGCATTAGATTAATATAACGAACTATTTAAAAACAGCAACCTGCACACCAGCATTTCTTAATATGCATGCCAGCAAACCCTAACTTAAACTCAGGGGAGATTGAGCTTTTTACTTATGAAACATTTTTTTATTACCAAACCTTGCACCAGTGACACAGTAACAATGTTTCATATTATACAAGCACACTGACAGCTTCCCTTCTCACCTATTAATTTCCGCTTACTTCACCATGAGGTGCACTAGAACATGGCTCCTACTTATAGCAGTCTAATCTAATATTTGAGCTAATAATAATTTGACCACATGGGGCAACTCATAAAGAATCCACATTTCATCACATGATGGAACAGGTGATAATTTAAAAGACTAGATTTTTTTCACCCATATCCCAAAATAGTTTTTTTTTTATCCAGATAATAGACAAAGGAACATAAAACAATTCTAAACCAGACTTACCTTTCTGAGAATCATTATGAATGTCCAGAGAGACATTCTCAGAGACCCCAGTGGAGCGTGTATATCCTGTAACTGAATATTTAGCTTTGTCTGCTCCTTGGTTGGAAGCTTCTGAGCTGTAGACACTTAGTGCGGATCTTGTGGTTAATATGATTTCACTCCCAGAGTGGTTTTCATTGCTCGATTTGTCAGACTCCTTCCAGAATGGATTTTTATTGTGGAGCTCCAGCAAAGTCCTGCTTTCAGCACTATGTCCGCTCCCCTCCAAAAAGCTCTCTGAAAGAAGCATATGTTTCCCGTCTACATCGTTCTGCCTGTCAGTGTTATCACCTGTGCTCTGTGGTATCCCTACTGAGCCAGAGACAGTAAGTGCTTGCAAAGCCTGACTGAGGCTTCCAAGTGAACAGAGAGATGCAGCCAGAGCAACAAGGACAAAAGATGAGGGCCCCATGTTTGAAAAATTGGGAGCCAAGATCTGAGGAGGAATACAAAGAAAAAAACACCCATGAATAAAAGCAGATTTCAAAGTGTGTATGTTTTATAGTATACTACTTTGTAGCTAGTTATAATAACCATAATGTTGAAAGCAGAAAAAATAAATAAAAGTAAAGACCCATTTAAGGGGAAAAGAGATATCCCAGCCTTTGATGCGTTTTAATCCTATAATTCGTTTTATAATGCAGAGGCTTTACAAATTAGATGGTGTCTGCAGCTGATTTGACCCAGAAAAAATAAATAGAACACAGAAAGGGGGAAAACTTTGGGTCACAAATATTGTTTTGGTCACTTGTTAGATATGCATAATTACTACAACAGCTACATCTGAAATTATTAACTTTAAATTTCCCACTGTAACATAAAGGAGGTACTTTTACTTTTAGATGCTACATCAGTTGTTACTGCTTTATAAATGTTTACACATTAAATTTGATAAGATTTAATATTAAGCATCCAATAAAGGAGATTTCAGTTTTCCATTTGACTCATCACTCATTATTTCATTATTATTTAAAATGTTGTTGCATTGTTGTTTAAGAGCAGTAAGTAAGCCAGAATATTTATTGTTCAAATTTTTTGAGTATTCATTTATCAGAACAAAATTCTAACAAGAGCTAAATAATAACATAACAGTTACCTGCAGCTCCTGATAGTCTGGATTCCCCTTCAGGATTTTACTGGTTGTCTTCCTTCTTTACTGGTTCAGGGCTATCTGTTAATTTTCCACCTAAACATCTCACCGAACACAAATACAGTTTAGTAGCCGAGTTTGACACGCTCACCGACAGATTCAAACCTTTTGAGCTGAAGTCTTAGTCCTCTTAATGCACCAGCTGTTTACTTGGGCTTTTTCTCATCCCAGGGTGACCTGAATAATTAGTTAAAACCTAAAATGTAAAAAGGGCAGTAAAAGAATTAGCCTGAAAAAAAAGGATAATTTTGTTATTGTACAAATACATTTTGCAGCTTTTTTCTTGATTAAGTAAAGCCTGTGAAAACTTCACCTGACTTTTTACATTTGTCTGCATGTAAATCCCTTGGTAAAAGGATTACTTTAAGATCCTTATAGTGGCAGCAAGTCACGTGAAGTCATGATCTGGAGCCAAACAGACACAAGCACATCCCAGAGTTGATTACTGACAATATGTTAAGTTGTTATTTTAAATACACACACAAAACACCATATTCAAAACTTTAAATATGGACAGAGGATCTGTTTACAGCATAAAGAAATCAGTTATAATTAATTGAGAATCCACTGTGATTAGTATAAGCTATGTGACTGCATTAAAAACTATACAGTTTACTGAAACCATATTAACAATTAATTACATTTCATCCTCCTCCATCCATTAACGTCATTGTAATTAATTTGGATATTATTTGACAAACCAACACAAACTACTAATTATCTAAAAGTAAGTAATAATTTCTTAAAATAAGAGTATTCAACCTTAATTGAGTAGATAAAGGAAAGATGATTTGCCAGTGGAATGATTATTTTCACCTTTAAAATAAGATAATTAGATATTATGCTCTTCAAATAAGAGACAGCAGTCATTTTTTAATTAATAATTTAAAACCAAAACGGCCTAATCCAATGGAAAAAACCCCCCCTTAACCGGTCAAATCAAAAAAAAAAGCAACTAATTTAAAAAAAAAAATGCTTACTCAGGTTTCTATGTTTTGCTTTGTAGCACATTTTGAAAGAAAATAAGAGTTTTTTTATATTTTTTGCAAAAAAACATGTCAAAACCTCAAACAATTTAGTTTTGGTAAATGGAATAGTAAGTGTCCTTTGTGAGGGGACTCCTCTAAACCACTTTACACTACATTCAGTCATTTATCCATTGATGCACACATAAACACACTGATGGTGGCTATTGCTACAGCTGCCCTGAGTCACACTAACAGAAGCAAGGCTGCCATACACAGGCGCCACTAAGCCCTCTGACTACTGTCAGTAGGCGATGTGGATGAAGGCAGCAGTGACTAAGACGAACAGAACTGGGGTTCAAACCGGTGACTCTCCAATTGCAGGACAAACTCCTGCCTCCTACGCCTTTGTTGCCAATTTCCTTTACCAATCACCCATTAAGGTCAAATATATTGAGCAAAAGACTTTTAGTCTTTAGATAGTAAAGTAAAAATTTACTAAACTAATAACCTAGGATAAAATAATAAAAGCAACAGTCACCTCAGCTGTGAATCTTTGCAGCTCCTCCAGAGTTCTTTTTTTAAAGATGCTACATGTTTTAGCCTTTATTTCAGGTTGAGCAGTGCTTTGAAATATGTTTTTAAGGTTGGGAGATTGTTTTCTAAATTCTCTTTGCTTTAAACTTCTGTACAACCATCTCTTGTTGCCTGGTGTGTTACTTGGTCTTAATAGATGTTGCCTAATGTTGGTGGGCGTTTTGCAACTAATTAATCTATGCTCTACATTCTACTAACATCACTCCAGTTGATATCTTGCAGGATCACATAAAATCTGTGAACAGGGATTGATTTTAACTCTTACCTGTCCACTGAGTGGCAGACTCTGCCCATTCAGAGCACATCTAGCTCGGTCCACCTTAAGAGCAGCACGGGGCAGTTTGTTGTGAAGCTAGCAGGGGGACGCCCTCAGTGGCACATGCCTGGCACTTTAAGGCAGACTGGGGAAGTTAGATTTTGTTAAAGGTATACGCATTCAAATGTGTACCAGGCTTTACTGTTGACTAGTGAGAAGAGCACTTTAACAATACCACAGTGTTGATGAGTCTGTGAATCAGTTTTTATTGTTATTTTGATTATTTCAAATATTTTTTGTTACTTAAAACCACAAACTTTCCTAAAAATTGGGTTTTAAAATAGTTTTTATATGATTAAAACACATCTAATTCCCCACTGTAAGATGTGTTTTCGTATGCACGTGGACACTTTAGATTGTAGTGTTGTTGCACTTTCACTTTGTCTAGTGCAACACTTTCAAGTATCTGTACTGTATATGGATATTTGATTCGTCTTTCTTTCTAAGATGTTGGCACAGTCGTATATTCAAACTTATAGAGTCCTGCTTTATTTTATCCGTTATCTGTTGATCATTATGACGTTTTAATTTCAGTTATAGACACTGATTTGAGTCCCAGGATATGAGCCCCAGTTTAGGAGTGAGCGTCAGGCCGTTGGTTGCCTGCTTACTATCATTGTTTTCAAGGCCTGTACTTCCGACATTTAACTGCTTTCTGGACAACTTACGAAGGTGGGTTTTCTTTAGAGGCTAAGGTATATTTATTTGGATTTTGGTCAGTTATCCGCGGGGGGGAAACTCGCATAGCAGAGGCAGGCAACCTCCGGAGCTCAGCCTGTAAAATAAGCAGACGTCAGAGCCTCTTCGCCCCGCTTCACCGCAGCAGTTACATTTCTATCGCGGTGGAATCACAGCCTTATTTGCGGGATTTCGCCGCTGCTTACGCTGCGCTATGTAGGCATCGATTGGCATGCTGCTGGTTGCTAAAATACGTTTATCGGCTTTTTAGTTTTAAACACCGTGCCTTGGCGGAAAGAAGAGGATTTCGTTTTATTTAAGGTAGCATGACGGGATCCTACAGGGTGTTGAGCTAGCTGGTTAGCATTTAGCTCTGTGGTTAGCTAGCGCTCTGTTGTAATGAATGGAGAGTTCTTTTGATGTTTGTTTTGAGATCAAACGTCCATAAAACGCTGTATGGTTTTATGAACATATTTGTACTTGTATTGAACCTTGTTAATTCTGACCAATCCTGGCCTGCTAGGAAACATTCCATATGGGATGTGACTAGCCAGGGTATTGCTAACATAAAGCTAGCATGCTAACAGCTAGCTCCAGCGTTAAAACAGTTGATCGTAAATAATCAAAATAAGGTAAAAAACCGTTTAAGTTGATTTGGCCACTAATTTCTAATCATGTAAACGACTACCCCAATATATACATGTAGTTGCGTATATGACCTGTGATAGTAAAGTTAAAAAAAGTTCAATCTAGCGGTTTAGCCTCAATCATTTGTTTGTGAAACGTTTCTGAGAAAGAATATTGGATATCATGTTTTTCTAAAATAATATAATTAGTACTGAGCCGTTTTCTTTTTTGTTTTGTTTTGTTTTTGTGAATTATCTTACAGAAAGTACGCAACATGCCTAACAAGATTCATGTTTGTTTTCATATGTTGTCCAGTTAAATACAACTTTTATTATTTCAGGTAAAGTGACGATGAACGAACAGGAGGGTGGGGTGGTCTCATTTGATGAATATGTGCGGCAGAAGGCCCGCACGGTACCTCAGCATAGGATGAAGGAGTTTCTGGAGTCTCTCGCTAAGGGCCCAGAGGTGCTGCAGGAGTTCAGCCAGCAGGGGGGAGAAGGCGGGGCAGCAGCTACCACCACAACCATGGTGTACCAGCAGCAGGAGGCCAATTGTATCTACACCGACAGCACAGAGGTGGCTGGATCCCTCCTGGAGCTGGCCTGCCCTGTAAGACTTTACTGTTTTCATTACAGCTGTCAAAGGAAATATTTTGCTAAAGTTATTTCACTTTACCATTTTACTATTCTTTATTGTTGTCTCATTCCAGCTTTCTAGACTAATATTTTAGACTCTTAAAGTGAAGCCACAATTTGCTTTTAAAAGGAATTTTGGTTCCAATAAAAGTTAAGGATCGAGCTGCAGCCTCATAGCTCCATTTAATACTTTATACTGCAGCCGCACACCTCAAATGTCACTTGCGTCTGGTCTCGAACCAGTTTTGCTGGTATGTTTCTGCGAAGTCTGCCTGGAATTTCTAGGGACGCACAGCAGTTTCCCGCCAAAGCGCTAAGGGGGAGCCTATTCGGCGGATGGTCACGAGAACTTCTTCGGCGGTGCCGGCGGGAGTGTTTATTTTCCAACACAACATGTCTCAGGCATTGTAGAAGTGGTTGTACTTCCGAACCTCCTTGATCAACCTTTCGTCTTGGTTATCCATTGTTATTAGTCCTCTGTTTTCCACTTCCACTTGAGGTCTGTGCGGGTTTGTTACGTGTTGTCAGGATTTTTTTGAGGTGCACAGAGACAGATTTGACGGTTGCAGAGGCTATGCATCAGAAGTATAAATTAGCCTTTACACTACACTTTTGAAACAATGCCGGTAACGCAGTCTGTGGGAGTGGGTTTCGAACTCACAACCTCAAAATTCCAAGACCTATGCCTTAACCACAAGGCCGACACTCCTAGAGATAACTGTTGAGTCTAAATAAAATGCAACTGAACTGGACTGTGCCAGACACAATTGAACCAAGCTAAATCTAGTACTAGTTCAACAGTTGTGGCTTGGTTCTCTGATAACAAAGAGTGCATGAGCAGACCCCATTTTCTCCTATTTACAGTCAGCTGACTCATTCCGTAGGTTTTCCGGCGTGTTTGGCTTTGCAATTCACAGATCTCTTCACCTGTTCACAACACAAACTTGTTCTCAACCTATTAACATTAAATGACATCAAAAATGCGTGGTGTCACCTGGTATGATGCCGAAACTGAGGTTCTTATTGAAATTTGGGCAGAGGATGCTATTCAGGCACATAAGTTCCTGAATGTTATGCATGCCGAAATTTTTTTGTTGTTGTAATTCCCGCCTTGTGAGTTGTAGCCTTGTGGGCCGCCGATAGGAAGTGAGGAACTGTGCTAGCGTGATGTGTAAATGGTCTTAAGAACCAAGCTCAGAACAGTTAACTGATCTAAGCTCTGTCCAAACTCAGCTTGGATTGGTTTCAGAGAGGTAGTGTAAATGGGGCACATGTGTATTACTAATATTTATGGATCTGTGTGGTTCTGTTTGCTATAAAATCCTATTACTATACCAATGGCACCCCTCAGGTATGCACCCATAGATCCTCCTCAGTGTTCATTTTTTTTCATTGTCGCCATTGAAGTTGATCCAGTGAGACCAGAAAGCTGTCTACCTTCAGACCATGAAGATGCGAACCCAAAAATTCCACTCAAAGTAGTATGCAACGCTGTCTCTTAATTAGAGGAACGACTGCACAAGTCATGTTTTACTCATTTGTCTCCTTATTTGCACATATATACGTTAGAAACCTCTCTGTTGGAACCTCTTCAGTCAGCTCTTTGAAGATGTGTCTGATCGACAAGGCAACGTCGCTCTTACCGTTATCCAATACGGGCGCACTGCCAACCAGACTGCCTGCCCCTGCATTCTTCATGCCGACAGACTTAAGCAGAGTTGTTAGATGGAAAAATCTGTCCGACTTCTAAACAGAGACATTGAATTAAAAGGTATTTTACTACACTATCAAAAATATTGATCTTCCTCTTAGCAAAACGGGTATAAAACCTCAATCAAACAAATTTGTAATGAATTAAAATATGAAAAATATCTCCCATGTGCTTAGAGGGACACGAGAGCTGTGCTGTTGATTTTGAACGGTTGGACTGTACCTCTTACAATTGTTCCACGATCACGGCTTACACTTTCATATCTCGTTTCAATGGCTTTGGGCCCCCACATGATGTGCATTAGAGGTGTGGTTAAGATGAGTCCACTTCATCCCTCAATGTCTGTATCTACTACATGCAGCTGATCGAGAAGTGAAAAAAAAAAAAAAACACATTAAGCTAATGGGTTGAAAATTTGGTCTAAAAAGTTGTAGTGACAAAAAAGGCTTTTGGACAATTTCTAATCAGAATGCTGTGTATTCACTGTCTGGTAGATTGACTTACACATACAGATGACATGTTTCTTATTGTCTAATATGTGATGTCTTGTTTTGCCTTTTCAGAAACAGATACGAGCTGCTCAAATTTAGACCTGTCTGCATGTTTAATTTTGTAGCAGACCTTTAAAAGTTGCATGTATTCAGAGATTTTCATGATTTTAGTGTGTTTTGACAAAACCTCAAGTGTCATCTGAGGATAAGAGATTCCAAAGCATGATTCTGCCATCACCATGTTAAACTGCAGCTTTTTTTTTTTCTTTAAAGGGGGCACTACATATTAATTAACATACATATCATATGTAAATATTCCAGGTTATAAGCCATTGACTTATTTCCATCTGTAGTCCTTGGACAGTTTGATGTGAAACCTAAGGCTTATGCATCACAACAAGGCTAATTATAGTCCTTAAATTTGTCATTTTCATGTAAAACGCACTTTAACTGAGCCAAGAGTTCAAGTTTGGATTATTCAGACTAGATTGCAGTCTGTAATGAGGGTTTTTGAGATCAAGCTTGGGCCTGGAAGTTTTCTTTAATCTCTATGGTTTAAGCTTAAAGATGCAAATGTGAAGAAAATGTTAGAAAGACGGCTACATGTTATTTAATCAGTTTTTCTTTACATGATGGCAGGCGGGGGTTAATAGAGGTTTGGTTAACAATATTGCATATTTGAATATAAATATGGGAAATTTACTCTCTGCATTTGACCCATCCCCTTGGGGAGCAGTGAGCTTTCATTGTCGCGCCCAGGGAGCAGTGTGGGGTTAAGGTTTTGCTCAGGAACCCAGAGTGGAGGCTGTGGGGATCAAACCGGGTACTTACAACCTTCTCAGAGCCCAAGTTCACTGCTCTAACCACTAAGCCAACACTCCCCTTACCCAATTAGGTCATTGCATCTTATTTATTTGTAAATGTGGCCTGACAATTTATTACATTGGCAATATAAATGTAATGTTTTACTCTTTTTAAGACCAAAATGTCTGTGGCTCTGTGGTTTATAAATTGCATTTCTCACTCCAGCCCTTTCTAAGGTAATAATTGGCTTAAGGTGGGTTTGTTGTCGCTGTGGATGGAAGGAAATAATTGTAGCTTAGGTGCAGATCCATGTGCAAGAAGTGAAGATAAGCCCGGTAATGATGGACTCTGGAAAAGAGAGCATTAATGGCCATAAAAAATAAAATAAAAAAAAAAACAATAAAAAAGCCAAACATTTCTATGTTTATCTTTAGTGCAGCGAAAAACCAGAATAAAGTCGCATTTGAAATTTAGATTTTTGGCAACATTACACAGCCTTACTTTTAAGTTTCTATTTTTTGTAACAGTTGTTTTCTCTTGAATAAGTCAGGACATGTTGCACATTAGTGGCAGAAATTAAATCAGAGGTTACTCATCGTGGTTTCACTGTTACTCATCTGAATATTTCTTTGTTTTTTGCAGGTCCAGGTGACCTCAGCGGAGATTTCCCCCCAAATGTCTGTGCATCCAGGCTCTGAACAGCAACTTCAAGTGCAGGTGGGGTTTAGACACTTCAGCCACATTCTAATGTCCCTTTTTTTAACTGACCTAGCTCCACACTCCACCTGTGATGTTATCTTTAACTGATGTTTGACACTCCACCTCCATCCGTCAGCGAGCATTAAGGTTACTTTGTGAAATAAAGTAGAGTAATCTGGTAACTGTAAACAGGTTTAAGAAGATAAGCATTGGGGCTTTTACAAGTTATTTTATGGCAACAACACAGGCAAGGACTTTTTTTAAAATTGTTTTTGAAAGATCTCGCATGGCGATATTGCAGAATATTTAGTGGACAATGGAGGCGATATGATTGGGAAAGTTGATTGTGTGAATTTAAAGCCAGATCACTCTTATCGTTAAGTTGCAGTGTTCTTTTGGTTGTTATTTGGCCCCGATTTACTCTGTAAGTGTGTGAAGTCATAATACAAAACTCCTGCAGTTGTTATGCAAACAGAGTTCTAAAGGTTTAAAGTGGAAATGTATAGTTTCTAAGCAAAATTGTCGCCGTTTCTCAATTCACAAGAAAGCAAGTTCAGACTCGTGTTCTCGCCAAATATGTTCTTCATAAGACAAACTATCAATAGCAGCAGAAAGGCTAACTTTTAACTTAATACTCTGAGCTCTGTAAGTGCTGAACTAGAAGCTACTGCCACAGTGCATGCTGGGACAGCTGTCAATCTGGAGAACTGACAAGCCTGCTCTGATGGATGCTAGGTAAAGAGGGAGGGGAAAGAACAACATCCAGGGACTTTGCCCGTTGGGCTGAGGCTGATGACACAAGAACGCACAAGTACACATATTGAGAAACCGCCATTGTTAACACTTCCTTCATGTAGAATAATTTGGTTTTTGACTTGTAGATTTCTGTTTAAATTTAATTGCTGCTTCATCAGCTGCAATTCCATTAATACATCAATCGGCAAATTTTGATTACAGAAATAAAATTGCTAGATTGAAACACTGCAATTTAAATAAAGAAAGTCACACTCTTTCATTAAAAAAATGTAAGCTTTGATTGGGTGGTTTTTCTGTCACATCCAAATTCTTATATTTTTTTAAAGCTGCAATGAAAACACTTTTGGATCACATGAGTCACATGATCTCTAGCTGGACCTTACTGCCTTTCAAAAAAAATGAAGAAGACCAGAAGTAGTTGGAGGATGATGGTGCAGCATGTTTGGATTCATGAGGAGACTGAGTATTTTGAAAATGTAGTTTTTGGCGATGTGCGCAATGAGCCTGGATACTGAATCTATTTCTTGTGTTTAAATCTGCCGCTGCTATGTTGATGTAAAGTGTTATCGTGTGAACAAACGTATTTGCGTGCAATTTTGATGCAGTGACTAAAATTAGTATTTTAAAAATTAGCAGAATGTCAAAATGGTTTTGTACACATTTTATTGGAAATTTAGAAATGTCGATATTATCTTTTTAAAATAGTATTTTAAGTGTTTTCGCTTTAAAAGTTTGCATTTTAAGATAAGACCTTAGGCCTTCTGTCTTTGGCCCTCTTTGTAAGAAATAAATTAGCATCTCATTCCTGTATCGGTCTAGAAGATTCAGTTTCTGGTTTTGTGTGATGACTGGGGGGTCTTTGTATTTTGACAGGTCCAGATCCAGGAACAGTCTGGCCAAACAGTCAGCCAGGTTCTGCAGGTGGCCTCTCCATCTCAGCAGGAGCTGCAGGGAATCTCTACAGCCCAGCTGGTGCAGCAGGCAGAGCTCACAGAGGAACAGCAACAGCAGGTTCGTCATCAAAATCATGTGTGTAAAAAAAAAAAACACAATCCGTCACTGTTTTCTGAGTACGCTGACTGTTTTTTACAGATTCAAGCTCAACTGCTCGCAGCTGTTGCTGGAGGTCAGCAGATTCAGCTGTCAAGTGGTGAACAAATCCATCTCCAAGGAACCCAGCATATTCAGCTTCCTGGAGGACAGCAGATCCAGCTTCAGGCTGGCCAACAGATTCAACTACAAAGTGGCCAACAGATCCAGATCCAGACCATAGAGGCCATGTCTCCTTCCCAACAACAGGATTCTCCGAGGGAAGGAGAGAGACGGCCTGGCGCTGTGGCAACCGTTCTCCAGCCAGCTAAGAAGCGCAAGGTGGATGTTCCCCTGGCTGTCTCCTATGCTGTGCCGCAGGGGCAGCAAGTGGCCACAGTTCTGACCATCCCTCAGGGGCAGCAGCAGAGCTATGTGTCCCTACGACCAGATTTGCTCACCGTTGACAGTGCTCAATTGTACAGCACGACAGGAACTATCACAGGTCCCACAGGTGAGACGTGGACCATCCCCGTTTACTCTACTCCACAGCAGCAGGGGGTGACGCACATCGCTATACCACAAGACACATACAGTGCAGTGCAACTTACTACTACGAACGGCAAGGACAAAGGGGTCTCTAGTTCTGTGTCGAGGTCTGCGGACGGCCAAGCAGCCTCCACTGCAACCCAGGAAGAGATAGTGCAGACGCTGCTGCCTGCACAATTCATGAACGGGAATATCCACATTCCTGTAGCTGTGCAGACGGTAGGAGGGACTTACAACACTACACAGTCAGTTCATATATGGGACCCCAGTCATCAGCAGAGCCAAGGCGAAGACGGCCAGGAGCAGCAGCTCCATCTGCAGGTTAGAAGGGCATTTCTCTACATGGCTACACATGACGATCAGTCACTATATGAATCATCAGGATAGCCTGGACATTTAACAGATATCCCTTTATTGTGAACATAATATAGTCTGTGCTTCCTTGTACTAACCTAAGAGCCTTCCGAGGAAGCATTTGTAAAGCTTTCCCTCTGGTTCTGCACAGGGCCAAGTAGAGACGGAGGCTGACGGCCAAGCACCCACCGAGATTCTGGTTCCCATCTCTCTGAAGCCAGAGGAGGGTCTGGAAGTGTGGCGTTTTTGGGCAAAGAAAAAAAACGATGAGCTTAGCAAGCAGGAACAGACAAAACTCGCACCCATTGGACGTAAGTAGACTTGAAAGATTCTCTCCTTGCAGTAACCTTTAATTAAAACGACTGTTTCACTTGCTTTGGGTATTGAAGTCTTGAGACAATAATATAGAGAAATAAGAAACTATCTAGAGCTTTCTTTAAAATAAATCAAAGAAAACTCAAATTTAGTTGCCTGTAGAGCATCATAGACAGTTTTTCTGTTTTAGTTTCAAATCATAGCTTCTTTAAACAAGCGCCTGTGTCTCTAGTGCTTGTTTTTAATCTTTATATATATATTCAAGTGTTTCTATCCATTTTGTAGAGAAGCAGCAAATAATTGCATCTGCATATCTACTATAACTATCTACTATTTAGTGATAATGCATAATTTATTCACATTTAACTTGAATTAAACTTTAAAGTGCCTTAGATTCGTCTAAAAGTTCTTATTCACCTTATTTACAAATGGCAGCTGAACTAATTTTTTTTTTTTGCCATTTATGTCAACAACCCAGCTACACAGGAAATATTCTTTTTCGTGGTTCCTTTTATAAACAGAATATGGTGGAATTAAAAAATGGAAATCCATAACTTTTTATTATAGAATTGTGTTTTTTATTACATTGGATATTTGTTAGTAAAAATCAGCCAACCAGCTTACAGCTTGTCAGTTATAAAAAAAAAAAAAAAAAAAGGCCTTTATAGGAGTGATGACCGGAGCTCCTTTTATTTTTACACATCACAGCTGGAAATGTTTCCAAACCTAATCAGTCTAATCTGCAAATATGACAAATACTTATTCTTTCAGCCAGCTGCCCGCCATTTTACAGAAACAGGTGGGGAACAGGCAAATCTGCATTGCATGGTTCTCCCTAGTAAAGGTCAATATAGATGTCAAAATCTAAAATCAACACTGTCTCTTACCTATTTAAGTCTCTGGACAGTTCAAAGGAAGAGTATAGCATCTTTAAAGCCATATTTTTATTTAATTTTTTTTGGCTCAGTTAACTTTGGTTGGCAGCTCTTCATTTTTCAACCTGTTGGTAATCCTGATTTCTATTATAGTTTGAGAAACATAGGAACAAACTTTGTCCTAATAATTCAGACTGTGGCTGCCCCCCACCCCCTTCTGTTTTTGTGTTCAGGGCGCCAGCCTCTGCGTTTCCAAGAGGACTTGGTTTCCAGCGCGGTTGCAGAGTTAAACCTTGGACTTTCCTTGATGACTCAAGAGGCTCGAGGGGCAGAGGAAGAAGAGTTGGCCCCAGATGTTCTGTATTATGTGTTTTTGTGTATACAGAAGGTTAGTGCCTTCAATGTCAAAGATACCAGCACACTGTCTAAGCCTCTTTGTGACTATCTGGTTTTGTTTTCGTTGTTTGTTTTTTTCTAGTATCTGTATGAAAACGAACGTGTGGATGACATCTTCTCTGATCCATACTACACGCGTTTTTGCGAGAGTTTACACAAACTCTTACATGGCTGGAAACCCAGCATCCATCCTTTAGGTAAGGACAAGTCACCATTTAGTTTTAAACACTGGAAAAATCTAAATATATAATTTTCCTTTCCCTTTTTTTCCTACTTAGGTTATATCATTCCTAGTCATGTGACAGAGGAGATGCTGTGGGAGTGTAAACAGCTTGGTGCTCATTCTCCCTCCACTTTGCTCACAACACTAATGTATTTCAACACTAAGTAAGTACTCATCATTGGATGGGTTGAATCCATCCCTCGGGAACAGATTTTAAAAACTCAGTATTTTTTTGCAGGTATTTCCGCCTGATAACTCCTGAACACCACATGAGAGTGGCTTTTTCTAAGGTGTTGAGACACTCGAGAAAGAACCCTACTAATGCCAAGGACAAGGCCACCAGTATTCGCCTTCTAAAAGTGCAAAGCCAACACAGCTCTGGACAAAAAGGTGAAATTAATTTGCATTTGAGCATTATTTTTATATATATATATATATATATATATATATATATATATATATATATATATATTGAGTCAGTAATATTTTTGGTGTGCTACCATGACCTGTTTTGTCTACGTGTTTTAAAGGTGTAGTGGAGGAAAGATCTGCCCTCTACACTTTAAAAATAAAAATAAAAAATGCACATGCACAACCCTGTGCCCCGCTCCTGAGAGGGAACGTCTATTAAATGCATGCAAGAGCATGCACAAGCCCATTTCTCCTTGTGCATGCTCTGTTTAAAAGTTGCTGTTTGCGTCGCTCATACAAGCTTACTTTCCAAAAGAAAACTTGCGATTTTTCCACTACATCAGACACACCAATGTGATGTGCCAAGAAATGCCTCCCCTGTCGCACACTGAAGAGAAAACTGATTGAAATATGAATGAAAAGGAAACTTTTAAACATATTCTTAATATTTACATATTCGTTATGCATGGATGCCCTGAAATTGAGTTTTGATAGACTGATAAATGCGAAGAAATACCTGCCTGGTAAGAATTTCCTCCCGTCACATGAGCGTGCATCGCCCTAAACTCGCACATTGGTGAGAAAATGTATTGAAATATGAATGAAAAGGGTAACTTTTAAACATATTCTTAATGGAAAAAGAACATCCTCTACTACACCTTTAAGATACAATTTCTTTTCAAGCAGAACTGTGTACGTTTTTCACCCAAGAATTGGCTTAATTTCATAGGTATTATCTATTTTTTTGTTTGGTACACATCGATTATCTGTCAAGCTTATCTTCACAAAAACTCACCTATGTAGCTTCAGAGGGTCTGGTCCATCACTGAATGGGTCATGTGACCAAGAGCACCACTTTATTGTGATCTGAGCTCCCCTTAAACATGGGAGCTAACTCAGCTAAAGGTTGTTTTTTTAGGATTAAAACATGTGACGCTGACCTGATCAGTCATATCTTTGGTTCCCTTGGATAGGATTAAATCTAGATGGGTGGATACAGCCTGGTTTTTACTAGTAACTCCATGACTTCTCAGTCTACTGCTCCAAAGTGGTCTGATATCACTTTCCAAAACACTGAGGGAAACTGTTTAATTTTGTGACACTGCGGTGTTGCCAATTGCTTTTAGAGGCACTTAACCTGGAAGTTACAGGTCTAGTGCTCCTAGTGGCTAAACGTTAGTGTTGCTTTTAGAATCAATTAAAATAACCATTCATATTTGAGTTCCTGCAACTTTGGGGATTTGAGATGGACCTAAGATCCTTTAGGTGTATGCTATTTAAATGCCTTTAAACATATATTTTTTCCATTTGAATTAAATATTTGTCAACAACTGTCAAACAGCCCTTTACTACACCGCTGACTGGAGGGCCAGCCTCAGAGTGGTGCTGTTTGTTGATTGTTAAAAACCCAATTACTATAGCCGGATGCTTTGTACACAAATGTAGGCAATGCTAAAACCCGAAAAGGGAATCAGGATTTTAAGCATCTGTTGTGTTATGTGTCCTTTCAGGAACTGACGACATGTATGAAGAGCAGATAGAAGATCCTGAGAACCCTCTTCGCTGTCCCATTAAACTTTACGACTTTTACCTCTTCAAATGGTGAGCGGCTCTCTAATCCTATCATAATGCCTAGATGCATTCTGGTCGTTGTCTGAAAGTAAACTTAACCTTCTCTTATTTCCCAGCCCCCAAAGCGTCAAAGGGCGCAGTGACGCCTACTACATGACGCCTGAGCCTGTTGTGGCGCCAAACAGCCCCATGTGGTACTCGTCTCAGCCGCTCTCTAGTCAGCAGGTGGAGCAAATGCTTTCTCGCATCATCGTAGTCCGAGAGATCCAGGAGATCATCGGCACCGCTCCTGAAAGCTCGAGCTAAGAGGGAAGAACTGGCTGGACTTGACTATGCAGTACCTATCCAGACTGTATGTCATCTAATAAAGCGGGGCATCCTCTGAAACAATCATTTTCTTCTTAGCAGAGCAGTATGATTGCATTTGCTAGTTCTCATCTGATGGGGTTGGAAACTCTAACCTTTGAGCAGAGCCAGCTGCTGAAGTGTGACATTCACGTGCAGAGGTGGACGAGTTTGTTTTTTTTCTTCCTGTAGACCTCTTATCAACATCATACCAAATTATTCAATCTTAAACATCTTATTCAAGTCTTATTTTCTTCAAGCTCTCACTATGATAGATTGCAACTCATAATTACAGGGATGATTGCTCAGTTTTTGTATTCTGACAGCAATTTAAACAATGTATGAATATGATTAAGTCAGAAGAATGTGTGCCTTTGTCCTTTTTTTTTTTTTTGTTTTTTTACTTCTACTTATAGCTTGTCAATTTTCAACAGGATCCAATATTTTATTGTAATTATTTAGGCTTAACCCCTCAGTTGGATAACTATCAAATATTTTGCCATCTTCAGCCCTTCATGTATGTGTGTATAGTAGGACATTAAAAAGGAGAACCAGATGGAAACATTGTATTTTGATTGATGCAAATCATATAGAAAATACAGTGCTATACAATTATTACAGTAGCTTTGAGTTAAACTCCAGTAACACTTAACACATCCACTTTATTTGGAAAATGTTACATTAAATGACACAAACAAAAAGCATTCTCTTATTGAATGCCTATAAAAAAAAAAAATTCTGATACGAGTCCCCATTTAGTTTAAATGGTTGTTTCCTTTTTATTCAGCAGCCTTGCCATTTATGCCAGCTGTCTCTGGACATAGAGGGATTATTTATTATTTTTGTCCTCTGGAAATGTTAACCTTAGTCTGTTCAGTGTCTTTATGAAGTACTTGGGCAGGGGGCAGGAAGTGCTGACATCAGACCCGCTGTGACCTGGCAGCACCAGATGGCGAGCGTGCAAATGAAGAGGAAGGTGGCGGCTCTTGGTCTGCTCCAGTCCGAGCTTTTTCAGTACACCTTCTGGTAATTTCTGTAGACCAAAAATTGAGCAATTTGAGTGATGGAAGAAAGGAAGTCCAGGCCTTATAAGTTCAACAAATTACCTGCTTTCTATAGGTGCACTTGAAAAATACATATTTAAAAAAAAAAAATGATGCAACTCTACATTTAAGTCACAGAATGTTTTAACCCCTAATTTAGCTCATTGTGGCTTAATGTTAAGACACAAATAGGTCATTGTAGAAATAAATAGGCTGCGGTATCCAACCGTTAATGGTGAGGTGATTGGAAAGGTGCACATTCAGAAGTGACAACTATACAGGATTTTAAAGCTCGTTAAAAGCATTTCAGGGAGAGCTACCCAAGTTGCATCAAGGTCAGCTGTCATAATTCCTTTGAGTTACCCTAGAACCACATCAGACATAAGTGACTTTCAAATAGAAGTTCATTTTGCATTTTATCTGGATATAAGTCTCATATTCTGAAGAAAGGAAAGACACACAATCCACATTGATTCGAGCCCAATTTGAAGTTCCCACGATGAAGATTTAGAAAGCCATACTATCTGGAGTCAGTCCACTATGTTTCAGCAAAAATACACTGCTTAAAAAAAACAAAGCAAACTCAAATAACACCTCATGGATATGAATGAATGAAATACTCTCATTGAATAGTTTGTTCTGTCCAAAGTTGAATGTGCCGACAGCAAAATCCACAATAATCAATGGAAATCAAATGTATTAACCAATGGAGGCCTGGATTTGGAGCCACAGACAAAATTAAAGTAGAATAACACACTAAAAGCTGATCCTACTTTGATATAATGTGCTTAAAAAAGGTCAAAATGAGGCTCAGTATTGTGTGTGGCCTCCACCCCAACCACGCCAGGGCATGCTCCTAATGAGGTGCCAGGTGGTCTCCTGAGGGATCTCCTCCCAGAACTGGACTAAAGCATCCACCAACTCCTGGACAGTCCATGGCGATGTTGATGGATGAATCCAAACATGACATCACAGCTGTGCTCAACGGGATTCAGGTCTGGAGAACAGGTGGGCTAGTTCATAGCTCCAATGCCTTCATCTTGCAGAAACTGCTGACACGCTCCAGCCAGATAAGGTCTTTCAAGGGGTCTGAGGTACCTAATGGCAGTCATGCTACCACTGGCTTGCACATAGAGGGCTGTGCGGCCTTCCAAAGAAATGCTATTCCACACCATTACTGACCCAGGATCCAAACTGGTCATGCTGAAGGATGTTGCAGGCGGCAGATCACTCTCCATGGTGTCTGCAGACTCAGGCACATCTCTCACATGTGCTAAGTGTAAACCTGCTTTCATCTGTGAAAAGCACAGGGTGCCAGTGGCAAAATTTGCCAATCCTTGTGTTCTCTGGCAAATGCCAAACGTCCCGCACAGCGTTGGGCTATAAGCTCCATCCCCAGTTGTGGACGTTAGGCCCTTATTCCATCCCGATGGAGTCGGTTTCTAAGAGTTTGTGCAGACACATGCACATTTGTGGCCTGCTGGAGGTCATTTTGCAGGGCTCTTACAGTGCTCCTACTGTTCCTCTCTGCACAAAGGCAGATGTAGCAGGTTGCTCCACATCTCCTGGTCTACTGGCCTGTCTCCTGGTAGCACCTCCAGCCTCTTGACACTACACTGACAGAGCAAACCTTCTTGCCACAACTAACACTGATGTGCCATCCTGGAGGAGCTACTTGTGTGGGTATACTCCGTCTCATGCTGCGAGTGTGAAAGCACCAATAACATTCAAAAGTGACCAAAACATCAGCCAGAAAGCATAGGTACTGAGAAGTGGTCTGTGGTGCCTACCTGCAGAACCGCTCCCTGATTGAGCATCTTGCTAGTTGCCAATAATTTCTTTTTTTTCATTTTCCATTCCATCTGTACAACAGCTTGTGATTGTCAATCAGTATCAGTGTTGCTTCCTAAGTGGACAGTTTTATTTTTTGAGTTTGATTTAACTAAAGTTGTATTGTTTACATGTTCCCTTTATTTTTTTTTTTAATAGTGTATAATTGCAGGGGAATTTTCCAACACTCTAATGCTGCTATCTGCTAAAAAGCTTGACAACGATCCCCATTTAATTTTATTGATGGAGTTGGTCCAACCGGAACTCCATAGTTTTCAACAAGTATTGTCAGGAGGAAGAGAAGAGACACCAGAACCAACAATGCAGATAAGCTAAAGCCCGTAAACAAAGCCACCAGCATTACTATTATGGCTCCTGGCCTCGGTGTGATGTTGCATTACTGCAGGAATTGATGTAAAAAGAACTTAAACCAGGTAGACCATCATCAGAATGCTGACATTTCTGTTTCTATAAGAAATGTTTAGGATTTCGTTTTCAGCCAACTATTAACCTTTAACATTTTTATGATTCTGGATATTTCTCTGTAATGGATTATGGTTTCTAACAGAATTGCTCAACATACTTTTATATTTTAATTCACAGAGATGTACATAGAAGCGAACTCCATTTTCAGACTGAAGTTAATTATTGAATGACAAAATGTGAATCAGGGGGAGAAATTCAATCTTAAACAACATGAAGCTGATGTTTTCGTTAGGTTTTAGTGAGGCACACAGCTAAATGAAAGCTTAGAAATTAGCCAATCTACATGTATAAGTGTCATGTTAAAAAAGTTCACTGCAGTGTCAGAAAATGTTTTTGGTAAAACTGATCAGGACTTTTTTGTATTGACTGACACACTCAATCCCTCCTTTCTAACCCTCACTTGAGGACCCATAAACATAACTTGGTGTTCAACCATTTTGCATTCATTTATCTTTATATTTCTGACTTTGATGAAGTCGCATAAAAACGTATTTATTAGTAAATATTCAAATCAAACTGTTATTTTTGCATGACTTTCTTTTGCACTGATTTCTAATGATTCTGGTTAGGATTCCTGTTCGAGGCTTCTGACTCTTTTTAAATATGACAGATCATTCACTTTTTTCAATCTAAATATAGATTAGATCAATAATATACCCACAAAGATCATGGAAAATTACATAAAACATTTGGTTAAGATGAAATGTTACGTCTGAGGCTTCTTTGATTTATGGGTACGACAGATCAGGGAATGAAACAGCAAAGGGAAAAATTCACCCATGCCTCCTTTTCCATGTGTCTTTGTGTTGCCCTCCCCCATTGGACCCTGTGGTAAGTAATATACATGTTTCACCTGTGGTGCCAGTTTGCTCCAGTGGGAATATTTATGATCTCCAAGGATGGGACATCCTAGAGCATACGCCATATGCACCCGCATCTGGTGCTTAACCCCTGTGGATGAAGGAAAACAGGGAAAGTGGAAAAAGGAGCCCTGAAGGAAACTAAAACTGATCTTGAAGAAGATAAGTGTATGTAAGATATGTAACCTGTCAAAGCCTGGAGCTCAACAAGGCTGCAGCCATAGCTGCTGTCCAACACTCTGTACTTGGTGACTGCAGGATGGGCCTGCCGGTGACCTCTGACTTTGGTGAGCTTCTCGCCGGCTTCATTCATTCTGTAAAGCGGACTCAGGGTCATCTGAAAGGAGATGTTATGAAAATTAAGAGCCCGCCAGAACAAAACGGTTAACTGAATATGAAAACACAGTAGAGGTTAACGCTCTACTGTGTTTTCATATTCATGTGTGCTTAGTCATATTAAAAATAAACTTGTAATAATGTACTTAATCCATCATAACTTTTTGTGATCAGACCAAGAAAGAAAAAAAATTACTGCTCAGTTGCCATTCTGAGGCCAAAACGTAATCTGGAATAAACATTCAGTAAAATTCATTCATTTCTGTATCAAAACGTGTACTGAGTGCAGAATTATTAGGCAAGTTGTATTTTTGAGGATTATTTTTATTATTGCACCACAATTGTGTTGTCAATTAATCCAAAAGACTCCTTAATATCAAAGTTTCATATTTTTGGAAATTGATGTGCTTTTTTTTTTTTTTTAGATTTGTATGAGGACGTCTGTGTGTGCAGGTAAATATTACTGTGCAGAATTATTAGGAAACATAATAAAAAACAAATATATACCCATTTCACTTGTTTATTTTCAACATGTAAACCAATATGCTTAAAATAACTTGTGTTATCCTATTTTTAGCACCCTAACTTAGGAGTAGCAGGACATGTTGATTTTGTTATCTGTCTGTCTTTTATCACAGATAAGAAAAAAGTAAAGCTGTCAGTTTTGCAGTTAATGTTGGGAACATATTGCTTATTAATGCTAAACTGAGTTTTACTTTTCAAAGTCCATTTTTATCTGCTTTTAGTCCCTCTGATTAGTCTTCACAGCATTGCGATTATACAAATAATCCAAACTGGATGATAATTACCTTGAAATGAGGCTGAGGACTTGAAACTTCTCTTTCAATGATGGGGATATCAATCAACCCTTCAGATGGAACAGGAACTCCAACAGTGATCACCCTGAGAAGAGCAGGTCAGCTGATCAAAACTAACACATTTTAAAT